AGGGGAAGGGGCGGGGAAGGGGGGCTAGGGAGGGGAAGGGGAGGAGGGAGGGAAGGGAGGAGAGGGGGCGGAAAGGGAACGGGAAGGGTCCGCGAATGGGGGCTCCCACGTGCGGATGATCACGACCCCGCCTCCCCTCAGCCGCGGCCGCGGCTGGGGGGGAGAGGGGTCGTGAACGTTCGTGCCAACCCCCTGTTCGCGGGCGAATGGGGGCCCCCACGGGCGGGGGCGAAGGTCACGACCCCCCTCCCCTCCACTCCTGAGGGCGGGAGGGGGGGGAGGGTCGTGACTGCCCGTCCCAACCCCCTGTTCGCTCAGACCCCGTGGTCCGCGTGAGGGGTGCGTTTCTTCGACCGAGGAGGCGCGTGCGGTCGCGGGACCGGCGGGCTGCCTGACGCCGCCTGTCAGGGGGAGAGAGAAGGCGGGGAGGAGAGGGGAGGAGGGGGGAGAGGGAAGGCCCGTGCCACATCTGACATCCTACTCCTCCCTCCCCCCAAAAAAAACTTGGGTCCCGAAAACAAGCTCTTTGGTCCCAACTCCTCCCTCCCATTCCTTTCTCTTTGTGTCGAAACGTCTTCTACCCGCTGGGTGGAGTGTCCTTACAACACCCTTGGCCCTCAAACGACAGTCGCAGGACTTGACCCATCGTCTGTTGTACAATCGACGAGCGAGGCATTTATACCATGGAGCGGGAAGAGGAGGAAGAGGAACAGGAGGGGGAGGATGAGGATGAGGAAAAATTGTGACGAACCGGAAGGGGAGGGAGAGTGCAGCGGGAAGAATAACAAAAGGGGGAGGGGGGGAGGATCAGGAGGAACAGGAGCAGCAAGGGGAGGCGAAGAAGGGGAAAGGAAGGGACGGCAACGACGAGAAAGGACTCTGGGTGAGCGCGCCACTCCGAACGACGGAAGCAAGGCATCGATCCTAAAATGAAGCCCGGCTGCAGCGGCAGCCCCGTTCTGAAGGGCCAGAGACGCTCCGAGTGAAAGAGCAGGTGTGTATATATGATATGACGTAGAATGGCATTCGGCGCATCTTGTGTCGATGGCAAGGCTGTCGGATGCCGCAGGGGTTGTCTTGGAAGGTCACTTGGAGCCCCCTCGGGGGCTTCTTGGGATTGAGGGTATCGTGGGCCGTCTGGAACGTCCGTCGGACAGAAAAAGGCGAGACTGCGAGCGTCATGCAACAGCCTGTGATGTTCGATGGCCTGGCGCTCCTGGGCTACCCCCTGGGGCCCCAAAGCTGTCCCCAGAGGCCCCCAGGAGAGCCGAAGGGCCCCAGGACAGTCCACGGGGACCATCTCAGCGCATGGCATGTTGGCAGCGCGGGGTCCGACCCTGGCTCCCGAGGCCTGTGGCAACGCCGTGCGGCGGACCCCAGAAGACGTCCGAGAGCGCCCGCAGTAGTGGACTCCGGACCCTGGCGCAGAGCCATTGCCATACCCAGCGCGGGGAATCCAAAGCGACCTGAGGGCACTTCGGACAGTGCCTACGGCGTGGTGGCGGATACGTTACCCGCGTGTGAAGACATACGCGTGAAGGTACAACACGCGGGAGAGTAGGGAACTTCGTGGGCCATCGGGGGGAGAGAGGGGAGCGGGATTGACGACGTTCAACGTGTAGTCGTGCAAATGGGGCCAGGGGGGATTGGGGGTAGAGGTGCAGGGGGGAGGGGCAGGGAGGGGGAGGGGCAGGGGTCGGGGGAGACGAGGCGGTGAGAGGGAAAGGCCTACAGAGGCGGCAGGGGGGAGAAGAGGAGCCTCAGGGCAGAAGGCTTGGGGGGGGGGAGAGGAGCCGAAGGGCCCCGGGTGCCTCCGTCGCGCGTGCAGAGCGGAACATCTCTTCCACCACCGTCGGTGCGCAGTCAGCCCTGCCGCTCCCCGGTTGCTGCTGCTCGACGGTTCGTCAACGGCACCGTAACGGGTACTTACTAACGGGTACTTTGCAATTTTGCCGAAAGTTGCCACTTTAGGGCCTCTTTCTGGCAATGCAGCGTTGCCCGCATCGGGAAGGGTTGGGTTCGCTGGGTCACTGGCCAAAGTATCCGTTAGTGGAGTCCCCGTTTGTGGGGCGCTGAGTTCGTGTGCCGCGCCAGCGCTGACAAGACTGTGGATCGGAGGCCCCCAGCAGAGCCCACGCGGGGCTGCTGTGAAGAGGCTCCGCGCTCCACGCCGACCGCCTTCAGATCGTCGGCCCCGCCGCGGGTGGCCCGGGTCCTTGTAGGGAGGGGCGTGGCTGCTCACGTGTGGCATTCGAAGGGCCAGATCGTAAGTTGCGGAGCCGCTCGCTTGGCCTGCGTGGAGTTCAAAACTGCGGCTGGCATTCAACAGCGCGCGCACCGCGCCCAATAGCGTTCCATACCGCTCGGAAGTTCCCACGGCGCCCAGTAGCGTCCAGCACCGCCCACTGGCGCCTCTCGAAGGTACACTGCGCACGCGGTGCATGCCATTGGGCGCGCTACGGTTGGGTCCCATGGGGACGACCAAGAGCTTCCGTGAGCTGTGTTCTGAGATGGGGCGGCGGGGGTCGAGGGAGGGCAAGCCACCCCGACCCCCACCGCGGTAGCTGCAGCACAGCTCTCGAAAATTGGGGGGAACCGTCGGCCATCGGGATGCATTGTTCCAGATGATAATGGCTTCGTGAACTTAAAACAAGCAGGCAGCCAGCTACACAGCTCCAGTATTTTTTCCTGTAGACTCATCGGCGTTCACTGAACAGTCCTGCGCTGGTCGGTCCCTTCCGCACGCGCATTCAGCAAGCGCTGGCGCTCGCCGTGGTGTTTTTATTCATGGGGTGGCTGTTCTGCTTGTTCTTTTGATGGGTCTTGGGGACGGGAGCCATGAGGACACTCACTCTCGAAGCGCAGCGGGTTAGGCACTTCCACCGCCACGCCTCGGGCACAGTGGTGTCTGAATGCCAGGCTCCCACACGTAGAGGCTTGCAGAGCCGCCGAACGCGCCCGAGGAGGATCGAGCGCCAGGCCACACCAAGTTGCCACGAGAGCTCAGCATGCAACAATGAGGAGGAGTCCGCGCGCAGCGCATCGTCCAGTCTGAAATCCATATCTGCCTTGCTCCCCCTCCGCCATTTCTCAGAATCCGTTCAGACCCCTGGTCTTTCTCCTGGCACAAAGGCATAGCAACATGGAGCCCGAAACAACAAATGCACCTCCTCGTCCTCCTCCTGCAGCTCCTTCTGCTGCTCCTCCTCCTCGTTGTTTTGTTTTCCTCATGCTCCAACGCCGTCCCGCGCCTCCATGTCCTGCGCTTGGCGCGCTGGGCGACGAGGGCGCCGCGACGGCGTCTAGAGCGGGCCTCGACATGGAGATCGAGGCGCACCTCGATTGCCCACCCCGCCCTCCCTCCCGTCGGGCTGGTGGACAACATCCTGTACCACCGCGCGACAAGGGGCGCCTCGGCGAGCCCCTCTGCCCCCGAATCTATGCTGTTTAGCATCGCCAGCGGAGCGCAGGATTTCGGCCAGCCGGCAGATCAACACATCGCGGCGCAGCCCGCCAATGCTCATCATATCATTAGCAGCATCATGATCATCGACATCAACAGCATCATCAGCATCATCAGCATCAGCATCATCATCATCAACATCACCATCATCAGCAGCAGCACCATCATCATCACCACCATCAGTAGGGGTGCTATCCGTCGGCATCTCGAGGCTCGAGGGCGTGGACTTCACCGCGTTGTCCTACGAGAGGAGGTTCGGCGATTTCGGGCACGGCCAAACTGCAGGCTCCAGGGTCTCTTACGTGCCCGTTCTTTTGCACGCCCCTAGTGTTTTCCACACCTGTCGAAGTACACAGTCACATACGTTCTCACTTTGTGGACGGTGAGTTTGTCCTGCTGCTTGTGGACGGTGAGTTTGTCCTGCTGCCGTCTGGCTTCGAAGATGGACACATTGATGACGCTCCCGTCGCCGACCCCAGCAACCAAATACCGAGCAGTGGGATCCGCGGGCCTGGACCAGGTCATGAGGGAGCTGACGATCAACACGGCCAAGAACGTGGTGGCCTTCGACGGGGCCAACAGACGCCTGCAGGGCGCGCTGAGCCAGGTGGCGCTCGCCGGCGAACAGCATCCATACCTGGAGCCGGTCAAGCAGGGCACCAAGAAGTACGAGGCCGAGAAGAAGGTAGCGTTGTCCATCGAGGAGCGCGCACTTCTCGTTCCAGCAAGCGCCGCGAAGCTGGACAAGTCGGCCCCCGACGAGAAGAAGAAACCGGTGATTGCGTACCACTCCAGCCAGAGCGACATCAACGCGATTTTAGGCCATGTCATCACGTGTCACCAAAAGAAGGCGCATCGTCAGAAAACTTGGGGCGACAACGACAGATACAAGATCGCGCTGCTGGCGATCCCAAAGTTGAGCGTGGCGTCGGTGGAGATTTTCACTGTGATCGCTCTCGAGCCAGAGGCGGAGGTCAAGAAAGGGGCGCCCCCTCGTAACCCCAACATCAGGAAGGTCTTCGCGGGGCTGGTGGGGATAGGGGAGTACCAGGAGATGGCGCAGACGCAGGAATATCATTGTGTTTTCAGGCGCAGGGGACTGAACGATAGTGGTGGGCCGTGTCTTAGAGGACCAGATGACCATCTGAGGGGCCTATCGGCGAATCAGCACGTTCCGCCGACCCCGCCTTGTAGTGTGTGCCACTCGAGATCAGTTTCGCGAGCTCGTGAACTTCGCGGGATTTAATGTCTAGGCGACATCCAGACATCCGAATGTGCCCTGCTGGACTGCGGGCGGTGAAAGCCCGCGCTTTCATCGCCGCCGCCGTTCCAGCGTGGGGGGGCCAGTGCGTCGTAACATTTTGTTGTTCCGGCTTCGCGGTGCGTCTTGTCACTTGGAGTGGGCAGGAGGCCCCTCGCGAAGATCGAGGGGGCCTCAGCTTAGTTGTGCCTCGCGACCGTGCTTCCAGTTCGATACTGGGCGCGATTCATATTCTCTGGCAGTGCGACCGGGGAGTCTCAGAGGTTAGAGAAGAAGAAGACCATCATCATCATCATCAGCATCATAATCATATTCAATGTGACCGCGTGGGGTGTCCACGAAAAGCAGCATTACAGACCCCGGTCAGACCCAAGAGGTTCCCCCTGCACATGGGCTGAGAATCGCGAGCCCAACATGGCAGAACCATCGAGCGCAACACAGCAGGAATCGCACGCCGTCGTCTTCCGACCGCCTTGCTTACAGAGAAGGTCCACGCCGACGAACAGCCTAGAATAGAAGACGTAGCGGAGATCTGGGGCGAAAGGCGGGACGCCCATGCTCTCGCTTTGCATTCTAGCTGCGGTGCCGCAGCGCGATCTCAAATTGTCCGAGTTGCCATGCGATCGGCATGGCACTATAGTGCATGGCGTTTGCCAGGTCGTTGCCCAGAACGTACCCGTACCTTCTGCGCAAAATCATCGGCGTTTGTTCATTGTGCCCAGCCTCCCCTAGAGCAGTTTGGGTATGGAGTTGGCCCCCCGCGCAGCATATGACCCTTTTGGGCGACGCGGTCCCCGCAGACAGTAGTTGCGTTGCTGTGGGTCGGGCTTCATGAGCCACCACGCACGCGCGCGGGCATGCAACCAGACCGCTTTAGATGCACATCTGGTGACGCGCAGCTGTCATCTGCGCCTGTTGTACCTACCCTAAACGTTTGTCCAGCCAGTCGGAGCAAGCAGGCCTGGCCAGCAGCTGCCGCACCGCACAAGCGAATGTAATATTGATATTGTTCCCGCGAGCGGTACCAACGACAATCCTCCAGTTGATGCTTCTGTATACGGGCTTCTAGACTACAAGAGCTCAGACCACAGCAGCGACAGTTCTGCTTCAGCGCGGCCAACTCCGCAGCAAGGCGTCGTGAGGGAAGTGTCACCGAGCAGATAGCGAAAGCGCCCAAGCGCGGTCAGCGGCAAGAGCGTGGGATTCCCCGCCGCCTGCAACGCTCTAGACCCCAAAGGCGCACGCGCCAATCACGTCACGCAGGGGTCTCAGCTCGAGGCGAAACATTCGCCTCAGTAGCGATCGCGCGCTAGCGAAATGGTTAGCACGACTGACAGAGGCCATCAAACAAAAGGAACCGATGTGTGGAAACGTATTTGCATGGCGGCGGGCTTAGTCAGCCGGCGCTCAGGGAACGGTGCCAACCAGAACCCAGCGCCGCAGCGCTGGACTGTGTTGTTTCCCGGGTTTGACTCGCCTGTTTGCATTACTTTTGCGTTGCGGCGGCGGCTAGCGGCTAGCCGTGAGCAGCACAAGCGGGCAATAGTATTGTGCGCGCGTGAATTGTCGGAGCGGCATAGACGTTCGATAGTATTCTACGCGCGTTGCACGTGAGATTCAAGCGTTGGAAGGCTTCTGTCGCGGAAAGTACATGTGCCGCGCAAACCACGTGTTCATTTGCAGGCGCTGCTGGATCAGGGATTCGGTGGCCGACCAGCAACCCGAGTGGATTCGTTGGTATACCGCCAGGGCCGCCCAATACCCGCTTGCATTCCAGAGCAGTATGCAGATTGGGAAGTGCAACGCACGTAGCGTTTTATTTCAGGTTTATATGTATAATTATAAACATACAAATATAGATATAGATGCGCAAATTGGGCTGCGGCTCATAACGTTTGCGGTGTGTGTGTGTGTGTTGGCTGGCCCCGAAGCAAGTACAGTTGTCTCCCGCATGCCACACGGCAGCGTCTGTGTGTTGATTTCGGCATGGGCCCCCGTCGTATCGTATCCACCAGGCCTGTAGTGCAGTTTCGGCCCTACGTGCGTTTCTACGTTTAGCCAGTGCCTTCGCTTTCGGGCGAGGGCCAACACTCTGCGGTGTGTTCTTTCCTCCGCGGGAGCGTTCTTCTTGTTCTCGCCCTGGTTTTTCGGGGGTTCGCCCTGTGCAGGGACGTCGGCGGAGACTCACCACCCACCAAACCACCCCAACCCAACCCGAAGGCTCAGATTTACCCTCGATTTCCAGTGGGGGGGGGGTGTCGGGAAACCTAGAAAAAAAACACGTGTGGAGCCCTTACCCCCCCCCCAACCCGAAATTCGGGTCTTCGGGTTGGGTTGGGGTGGTCTGGTGGGTAGTCAGAGACGCTTCCAGCTCTCGCGGCCCCTTGCGAGCCGAAGACTAAGCTCTTGCCCCTGTCGCCCCGGGCCAGGGGCAGCCGCCCGCGAGCGGGAAGGGCTTCAGCAGAGCTGGGATACCACCTTGTGATGGCGTCCGCCCCACCCCTCCTCCGCCTCCTCCTTCTCCTCATCCTCCTGTTCCTCCTCCTCCTCCTCCTCCTCCTCTTTCTCCTCATCCTCCTCCTCCTCCTCCTCCTCCGCCTCCTCCTCTGCCGCCGCCTCCTCCTCGCATCTCCCCGCTTCTGCTCCCCGTCCCTGCCCCCCCCCCCCCCCCTTCTCCCCCTTTCCCCAGTGTCCCTGCCCCGGCCCCGCGCCGCGCTCCCCCCTCCCTCCCTAGAAGGTCCAGCGCTGCGAAAAACCAGCAGCGCCCCCCCAAAAAGTCACGAACTGAGCACCAGATCAGATCCCAGCGTCCTTCTGCGCCGCATCCACCGTGGCATCAACCCGTGGCCCCAAGGCCCGACCATTTTCAAGAAACGCCCGGCGCGCAAAAACTTTGCAACGCCCGGGTCTGAGGGCTTCCTTCGCTTCCCTTCCCCCTTCTCGCTCGCCGCCCCCATGGTGCCCGCGGGACCTCCAGCCTCCTAGCGCCCCTCAGGGCGGCTGCTGCGTCTTCCTCTTCCTCTTTGGCATGCTCTACGTGTGCTGGCAGCTGCTCTACACCCACGATAAGATCCCCGTGGGCACCCGTGCCGCACCCGCTGGACCCCCAGGGCGAGGAGCGGGAACCTCCTCCTGGTCATCCTCCTTCTCCTCCTCTGCTCCGAGCCCCCTCTCGCTCCCCATCTCCTCGCCCTCCTCCTCCTCCTCCTCCTCCTCCTCCTCCTCCTCCTCCTCCTCCTCCTCCATGCCTTGCTCCTTATGAGCAACTCCGTGTCGCACCCCCAGACGTGCTGGCAGGGCGGGCCGGGCGGTTCGCCCGAGATTCCGTCGCCACTCCTGAGCCTGAAGTTTCGAATTTGGAAGAGCTTCTCGGATGGAGGGCGCGTGTTGTTCAAATGTGGCTCTCGCTTACAGTCAACTCGCATAGCAAGGATGGGCAACCTCCCCAAGGGTACCCTTACATCCTTGCCTCCTCGGCCCGTCCTTGGCCACTTTCGTTGGCCGCACCCCGCTCGGGAAGCTTCGAACTGGGCGTCCAGGGCCCTTGCATCCTTATCGCGCATCCTCACTATGCGGGTTGACTGTAAGCGCCAAGCGCATTCGTCATACAAGTGTGCAAGTGTTTCACGGACGGAGGGCGGACCCTGTGCGCCGTGCACATTCGCTTTGCAAGTTTGCAGATATTCACGGATAGAGGACGACCATGTTTCAAGATGCGGTTCTTTGCCGTAGCGCCGCGCAGATTCGTTGTTACACGTCTTGGGGTGGCTCATTTTCAATGTTTGCAAGAGCTTCACGGACGGAGGGTGGCTCATTTTCAATGTGTGGTTGTCGCATGCGCGCCGCGCACGTTCGTCATGCAACTTCGCAAGAACTTCACGGATTGAGGGTGCTGCCTTTTCAATGTGTGGTTCTCGCCATGGCGACACGCAACGTCGTCATAAGAATTCACATCAATTTCAAGGAGTGATATGGTTGAGGTCGCAGACACTGTGCTTTGGTGCGATCTAGGACTGCCAGGGCGCAACATTCAAGTTGATTCGCGGTGTTGGAGTCCCAGGAACGGTGTTTTGATACGATTCAGGGGCGGCAGGGCGTAACAGTAACGCTGGCTCGCGGTTCTGAAATCCCAGAAACGTTGTGTTGCCACAGGTCCAGGTGTTCAAACGTTTGCCTTCCAACGAGCCACTTCCCTGAGTGAGCATAAGTCCTTGCAGGGACATATGAAGAGGGAGCTTGCAGGCAAGGTTGAATGCAACATCGTTGACGATTCTTAGGTTTACACTGGTCCTCCTCATCCTCCTCCTCCTACTCCGTCTCCTCCTTCCTCCTTATCCGTCCTGTTTCTCATCCTCCTCCCTCAACTCCGTCACCCTCCTCCTACTCCTACTCCTCTTCCGTCTCATCTTCCTTCTCCGCAGCCGTCTTCTCCTTCTCCTCCTCTGGCTCTTCTTCCCTCATCCTCCTCCCTCCCTCCTTCTGCTTCTCCTGCCCGTCTTCCTCCTGTTCCTCCTCCTCCTGCTCCTGTTTCTCCTCCTCCTCCTCCTCATCCTCCTCATCTGTCTCTTCCGACTTCTCCTCCGTCTCCTTCCCCACATCCAAAGTGGGGTTATTATTTTCTCTGGGCACCCTCCGCGCAGGAACCTCACCTCCCTCCCACTCTCCCCCTCACTCACGCATTCACCCGTAATCGGTCATCACCACCGTCGGTCATCAACATCACCACCACCATCATCCTCATCATATACAGTCACCATCGGTCACCATCGCCATCGGCCATCGATCTTCCTCATCATCAGCATCACCACCACCACCATCATCGTCATCATACTCAGTCGCACACCGCACACCCTCTCTCATCCCTCAGTATCATCTTCCTGAGACCTGGATGTGGGGGAAGTAGCAGGCGGGAGGCTCGTCGTTGGGTGAATCGCGAGGAAGGCTCAGGCGGGAGCCCCCCCCCTATGGGGCCCGCATTTCATGCTTCTAATCCGAGCGGGTCATCCTCGAACCTGTAATTGTCGTCACGCTTGTGTTTCTGAGGCCTGAACATGGGTGGAAGTATGAGGCGGGAGGATCGCCTGTGAGTGAATTGCGAGGAAGTCTCCGACGGGAGTTCTTTCCTTATGGGACCCGCGCATTATGTTTTTAATTCGAGCGGGCCACCCTCGAACATGTAATTGTCGTCACGTTTGGGCTCCCGAGGACTGAATATACAGGACGTATCATGTGGGAGGCTCCTTTGTTAGTGATTTGCGAGGAAGTCTCAGGCGGGA